TCATCGCCTCTTCCAATCCTAAACCCTCCACGCGGCCGCTTCATCCTTCGCGGATGGTAAAACCACCAAACCCCAAAAGACAACAACGACGACGCTGCCGCGCCAGACATCCCAGCCGCGATTATAATCGCCAGACTCTTTTTGCTCGACCCACTGCACTCCCCAAGCGGCCCGCCGCAGAGCCCATCGTTCCCTTCAAAACCCGCCTTATCACACCTATTAAAAAACAGCGGAGGAACAGCCCCTCTCAGGCTGTTATTCGCTACCGAAAAATTCTTCAACCAAACCAAACTGGACAGTTTGTACGGAATCGTACCGGATAGACGATTATTTGATAAAATCAACTCAGACAAAAGAGCACAGTTTGCCAGATCGGGAGGAATCTCACCCGACAGATCATTGTTGGACAGGTCGAGTGTAATTAACTTAGGCATCCAGGAACATAAATCTGCCGGGATCGTACCGGATATGTTGTTCGTCGAGAGATTCAAGTACTGCAAACTCCCACAGTACTGTAAGGAGTTGGGAACCTCTCCCGACAGCTGCATATCCGGTAGTTGAAGGGCGTACAGCTGTTTCTCCCCGTCGTGCGGCCCGCACTGTACTCCGATGAACTGGAAACAAATTCCGACCGAGGAGTCGGAGAAATCCCATGAGCTAATGTTCAGCGAGGCCTGGACTCCTCTCAGACACTTGATATCATCCTCGGCAACGGCTGAACGAACAGGACATGGAACAAGTTTTCCGATTGAAACTGTAATAAAGATGAAGATCTTGATCAGGTGGGTCGTGGGGTGGAAGGATCCTTTCATGGCGCACCAAAACCAAATGGGGACTGTAAATCAGATCACAAAAAGTATAGAAGTAATAGGAGGTGTAAGTCTTTTTATATTTTTTAATGTTATAGCTAGACTACACCTTCTTATACGGTATCAACTTCGGTCCTAGTTCATTACCTATTTTCAAAAAAAAAAAAACTTCGGTCCTAGGAAAAACCTCGGAAATGATTCAACGCTTTCGAATCCAATTAAGAACAGACTTAGATTATGTAAAGATTACGTATAAATCTTATGTTAAAATTTATATTTAATTTAAAATTAATTAATAATAAATAAAATAATTTTTTATATTTATCTATTATATTTTTTTATTATAAATTCAACGTGAAATTCTCTAACTCAACGTACCAGGTGGAATAGTCGAAAGAATTGCCCAATTGGAGGATTGGGAGAAGAAAACCGTGGGAGTCCATTGACCATGGACTGTGGAAATTTTACCAGACAATTGCTTCGGAGCAATATTATTAGCCCTTCCTGTTTTTTCTTCCTTTTGATTTTTTCTGACGTCTTTTAATAATGTTTACTATTATTATTTTTTCTCACAAAACAAATAACTATTTAAAAATATAAATTTATTTTTAGCTAATTTTTATACTTATATT